TTTATTTTATTTTGTATTAAAGATTAGGAACATTATGATACAATAATATTGCAATATATAAGATATTTTATATTCATATACATATATATACTTTATTAGTTTTTTACTTTTTTTTTTAGTATTATTTAATTGGAGAAGAAGAATGCGAAGAAGCTGAAGATGTAGAAGTACCAAAAGCATTAGGTGATGTTTTTGAATCATTAGCTGGTGCAATTTATTTAGATAGTGGAATGTCCTTAGATGCAGTATGGAGTGTCTATTACACCATTATGAAAAATGAAATTGGTAATTTAAAAAATTTTTTGTTTCATGTATATATATTTTATAAAAAAAGACAAACGTATGATATTTTATTAAAGAACAATTTAGCACAAATGTTCCTAAATCTCCAATTCGTGAATTATTGGAATTGGAGCCTGAAACAGCAAAATTTGGAAAACCAGAAAAATTAGCCGATGGACGAAGAGTTAGAGTTACAGTGGATGTTTTTGGTAAGGGATCTTTTAAAGGAATTGGAAGAAATTATAGGATTGCAAAATGTACTGCAGCAAAATGTGCATTAAAAAAAATTAAAGAGAATGCAAAATTATTCAAGAGAAAAACTATGATAGCACATATAATATTAGATCAAAATAAAAGCATATGAAATGAAATGAATTTCTTTATTATTATTAAAATATATTTTTATAAAGTTGTGTTCATAAATATTTACGAATTTGTAATATAAACAATTTTTATGCATTTTAGCTTAACATAATATATTGGTATAAAATAGATTTCTAAATTTAAAAGAGCATCATTTATTATCATTACAAAAAATAAAATTTTGAAAAAATAGTATAAATATATATTGTTACATTGTAAATATTAAAGCAATAATCACTTAAAAAAGTACTTATAAATTCTAAAAGAATCATGAATATGTATTTCTTGTATTCAATTTATGATAAATGATTGATTTACAAATGATATTTTTTATTTACCTTATAAATTATGTAACAATTTTCTTTGAAAATTCTAGTCAATATTAGCATTATTCTTTTTTTTATATTTTCAAATGGAACGATTTTTTATAATAATTATGTACAATAAATATATTGTACAAGATATTTTATAAATATTTGAATTTGCATTATTATTTATTTAATAATTATTATATGTTAACAAATTATATCAAATAAAATTTAAAGAAAAAATTTTTTTATATTTATTTTAAAATATTATTAAAAAATTTTGTACAATGAAATAAATATAAAATTATTTATACACAAAATTTATGAATTAATTTATTTAATGATTTGATTATATAGTATATATAATATTTTATATAATTTTTTTTTTTGCTTGTTTGAATTTGATATAATCATTATGTAATTAGTATTTCATTTTATTTCATATAAAAACAATTATCATGTAAATTTTAAAAATCTTTTGTAATAAATGTTTAGTAAATAAAATAAGAAAAAATTTAAATATTAAAAAATACTAAATATATTTGTAAAGTGGATTTTTTAAATATATTAAAATTTTATATTTTATATAATGTTGTGTACTTTAGAACCCACTTTAAGAATTAATTGCACAACTAAAAAACAATGAAAAAAACTTTATATAAATATGTCTTATTATAAATAATGGGACTTTATATATTGTATATAATATATAATATATATAATATATATATATTATATATATATAATATAATATATATAATATTATATATAATATATATAATATATATATTGTATATAATAATATATTTAAATATATTATTAATATTATTATAAAAATGATAATGAAATTAAAATATTTTGCAAAACATAATTTATATACAATTTAAAATCTTTTTTATATCTATTTAGAATTAAAATCTTAGGAGTTAAATTGGCTATAAAAAAGAGCTATAGCAGGATCTTCACATTCACATGTAATTAATATGTCTCGAAATTTATCTAAAATCTGTAATAATTGAGATCTACGAATATTTTCTAAATACATAATCTCTTCTAAATGATAACCTCCATTAAAGTAATCAAGACGGCATAATTTGTCAAGTAATTTTCTATCATCAGAAGGAATATCATAATCTTCTGATTGATAATTGTACATTCCATTTTCTTTACGAAGTGTTATTGATAATTCTTCATTTATATCAGCAGAAGTAGCTTTTGAAACATCATTTAAATTCCATACACTATTATTTTCTGTGATTTCATTTAAATTATGATTCAATTCATCTTTTGTATCCTTTAAAAAAGCAAATAGCAATATATTAGCAAATTAATATATATTGAATTAAAAAATAAATATTTTTAAACTCACCAATGATACTTGGCCATGCACTGTTGGCATATATTGTACATATGTATGTAATTGTAGAAGTAAATGGTTCTTTAATAACCATATTATTGTTTTTACTAATTGTGTTTGTTGTTGTGACTGACTTAAAGGATTTAATTTTTGACTTATAGATGTTGGTAGTGAAAAATCACTAAGAACCTATACTAATAAAAATTTAATATTATATATAATTCAAATAATTCTGAATGATATAAATAATTTTTTCACATACTTGTAATAAACAAAGTCCTGGAAATTCTTCAGAAAATAATTCTAACAATTGATTTGTGATAATAGCATCTGGTGATACAACATAAACATTACTTTCACAAAGAGGATAAATTATAGTAGCTTTAGCCCAATATATTAAATGTCCAGTTAATTGAAAAACTTGAGTTAATGTTAAATCAGAATCAGCAGCTAAAGTTTGTAAACTTTTCAGTGGACTATACATTTGAATTAAGCGTTTAAGAGCTGGAGAAGAATCTATTGGAAGTGAGTCCAGTAAATCTAAAGGTTCAATGAGTAATAATATACCATGATAAGGTCTTAAACTATTTAAACATCTGTAATAAAATTTAATATGTAATATTATTTTGATTGATAATCATATAATATAATATTAACCTATCTATTATTTCTGGGTTAATAACAAATCCTTTTTTGTGAGATTGATGAACCTTTTGTGGAAGGCAGAAACGTACTTGAATCCATTTATTAATCATAATATTAATTATACCAGAGGTAGTCAGGCTACTAAACACAGACTTCAAATCACGTGAAAGTGAACTTCTTTGCAATATTAATTCATAAGGTGATTCATCACAATCACTTTCACCTTCTGATCTAAATAATAAATAAATGTATATATATATAATACAAAAATTTTAATTAATCCTTATTTTTTATATATACCTTGTAGCAACTTCATCATGAGTAGAAACCATAATTTTTTATTTCTTCAGTTAAAAATCCACATCGTTTTTCTTCATGTCTTAAAGCTATACCTAACCTAAGGCAAATAATAAAATTGTTTTTTTTTATATATTACATATATAATAATATTATAACATATTATATAATATAACATAATAAACCTTTTACTTAAATCATAGTAACATTTTACTATAGAATGACTGGCTTGTGCTTGGAGAGCAAAAACTATATTAAAAAGCATTGAAGAATTAACTTCCTTCATACCATGAGATGGAACTAAAGTTGGATGTCCAACAAATCGAACATCATTTACTTTTAATTCAAATTTTTGCTCACATAATTCTGGTTTAACAGCAAATAATGTTGATAATACTTCATCAGTAACTCCAGTAAAATTTCCATTGCTTATGTTAGAAATTGGAAAAGGTAAAGACTATTAACAAAATTTATTGATATTATTAAATTATTATATTCATTTAAAATATAATTTAATGTATTATATTGATTTGTTATTAAAATTATATAAAGGAATCATAACATTATATGAAAAAAAATTGACCTGCAATAAATCTTCTGTGATTGTTAAAGAATAAGGATTTTTTCTTTTAGTGCATTGATTAAAATCTCGCGTATGTTTCGCTACATGTGGGTATCGAAATAAAAGTCTATCACCTTTACTATCACTTTTCACAAGAATTATACTTAGCGGATTTATCTCCATAACTAACTACAATTAACTAATGTTTAGGTTATATAAAATCTTGCCATTAATAAATTATAAACTAATAAATTTAATCAATTAAAAATGAAATTAATAAATATATATGATCAAATATCGAAATTATTTTAAATTTCAAATATAAGTATCAATTTTTTTAATAAAAATATTGTAGTATATTTTTTGATTCACAACACAGTTCTGACTTTACCGGAACCATGTGGTAAAAATCAATGTACTATATTTGAATTTAAAAAATATTCATATGTTTATTAAAAAGTTGTATTTAAAAAATTTGTATTATAATTTGTAAATATTATATAATTATGTTTAATAATCTAATTTTGTTTTGAAATAATTAAATTATTCTATATATTTAGTGTATTGATTATAGTCGTAAATGTTTATGTTTTTATCATTCATTATCCTCTGTTTGAATATATACATTTTCGTTCTTACACTTTGTATTCGTATAACATTTTGTTATATTATTATATTTGTATTTTAATTTAAAAAACAATAATTATATACACTATTATATACATATAATATAAAATAGAAAACAGAAATACAAAAATTATTTTTCATATCTTAGATATTTAATTATATATGATAGATATCACTAATATACAATGTTTGTTTAAAATGCTTATTTTATTTATTTAAAATAATTTAATAATTGTTTATTTATTTAAACAAATGAAAATTATCAAGATAAATATAAATATATTTTTTAAATATTAAATATAAAAATATACATATACAGATACATACAGATACATCGAAATTTCATTATTATAGTTATGTTTTAATCTATAAATCTTAATTCTATATATCTTGCAATTATATAATATATATTATATTTTATAGATATCCAAAATATAATTTGTTTTATTTTTTTTAATGATATGAAAAACATAATCTAATTAAAATTAATAAAAATATCATTATTAATTTTTTTTGAATTATATATAAAATATTATTACTTTTATGGATATTATTATTATTATTCTATACAGACATAAAGAATAGACTGGGTGAGACATTTCCTTCACCGTTCAATACGATAACGCGTGCGCTTTTCTTCCAGAGAAACCAGTAGTCGCTTTAATGGTATGTACTTTCATAGAGACGTGTTATTTAACGGTAAGAATATACTTTTTGATATTATTATTATTTGCATGTTTCATATTGAAAAATATATTGAATAATATAAAACATTATTTTTATTCTTAATTTTTTTTAATTAAATTTAAGATAATAAAAAAGAAAATATTAGAAATTGTAATTGTCGAGCAAAAAAGAAAAGAGCAAAGAATAAATAAAATACAATTTTACAAACATTGAATATAATCAAGTAATTATATTTATTTTATATAAACAAATATATACATAATTATTTAAAGTAATATTTATTTTTTAATATTTATTTCAATTAAAATTTTATTGTCCATTATTTTTTTAAAATAAATGTAAGATTTAATTAATTAAAGAAATAATATGAAAGATTTAAATAACTTTTACTTTTATTTAATAATACAATGAAAATTAATAATTTTTAATTTTTTTTAACATTAATAATAGATGAGAAGTTTTGACTTAACAACGAATAATTCGAGTTGTGCATCTTGTACGCTCGAACCACCGCCTGACATCCTTCATATACCGCCACCACCGTTCCCAGCCATTTTTCAACACAGCTCTGATTTTTATCCACACACGGATTTATTATCGTTTCCACCTCATTTCAATGACAGTCCTTGCAAACATTTCTGCGATCGTCGTTCCGAAGGAGTTCAATATATAGAAATGCCTCAACAAGGTTTAATTAATAAATTTCTAATTTATTTAATTCTCGTTAATTTATTCATGTAATTCGTTTTGTACTTTTACTTTGAAAGAAAAAAATATTTTCTATTATTATATATTAATTTAAATATTATTAAATAATTAAATTATTATTAAATATTGTTACATTAAAAAAAGGACAAAACGAAAAAAAAAATTTATTTAATATTTAATTATATCTGTAGATAAATAATTTTTATATTAAAATTTTAGGAACAGTTTTCGATGATACATGGTTGCTGGTTCTAATATCTTCTTGCATCGGTGTAATTTTTATAGGCATCGTATTAGCAACATTACTCTTGAAATGCAAATTGTAAGTTTTCTTTTTCTATTTTTTTTATAAAAATAGTAAAACAAAAAATAATAAAAAAAATAATTTTATATTACAATAGAATAAAATATTTAACGATTGAATTTAAAAAATAAGACAATAGTACAGATAACAATCAACTAATATTATTCTGTAGTAATAAAAGTGGTAAGAGTGGCGTAATTTCTATACCAAATGCGACATCTGGTATACAAGCAAAAAATGGAAGAATTCAAAATGAAGCTGTTCTTTACCCCTGTGGAGCTGATACTATGCAAGATAGTCGTGTTATGTGGGCTACTCTTACACCACGGGGTACTACCAGACATTACCTAGAAGAACATACTTATGAAACAATCGGCGGTGGACAATTTCATAAACGTGCCTGTTCAACTACGCCAACTGAACATGTAAAACTTAAGGCAATTTAATATTATGTTTTTATATGTAGTTATACTTTAATTCACTTTAATTCACGATTTTTTGAACGAATTTTTGTTCGTAATAAAAAATAATTTTTATTATTTTATATAAAACAAAAAAATATTAACTAAATAATGATATAATAATAATAATGAAAAAAAAGAAAGAAAATTTCAATACAATTTAACAGATATTATGGAATAACTTTATTGTACATTTCCTGAATGAAGTAAAGAAACATTTAAAATATCTGAAGACAGATAATTGATTTTTCAGACTTACGCAGATCCTCCAGTTACAACTCCGATTCAAAATCGGTTAAAGGACGACAAAGCGTTTGATAACACTGCATTCGTAGATTACGAAGAACCTTCGTTAATGAAGACTGATTATTATCAACTCAGCGATGTTTTAGAATCGAACGATCCAAGTAATATTTTAGTTATTAATATTTTAATTAATTAATGTTAGCATATCTTTATATTTATAATTTAATTTAATTTTGATTACAGGTATACAAAGAGGAACGCGGCCGCGCGTTAGCTCGCCAACACGGATCGAACATCCAAATTTACCGCCCCTTAACCTTCATCCTCATAAACGTTCTTCTCGTAAAGGATCTGCTACGTCACAAGCTTCAGATACGTTATTAAGAAATAGTATTACTTCATCTACATATATTCCTACTATATAAGTTTTACATCTAACTTTTGTTATATAATAAGCAACAGTAAACAGTACATTTTGTACACATTATCTTCACATCTAGTCATTTTCATCAAAAAATAAGTATAAGTTTTACAACAAGTGATTTGGTCGTTTAAAAATGATAAAATCTAGTAATGTGATCAATATGTATAATATTATTTATATTTTATTATGTACAAGATATCATATCATTCTCACTGTCAAATAGAATAAAAAAAAAACAAAATGATTCAAATTTGAATAATCTGATCAAATTTATATTCTGTAATTTATTAATACTTACTAATTTATTAATTCTATAAATTATATAGATAATGACAGAATTTAGAGAAAAAATAATATAATCACTAGTTTATATATTGATATAGAAAAAAAACCTATTCAAAAGTTCATGTTAAAAAAAAACAGACTGATGTATCATAATATCTACATAAAAAATCTACAAAAAAAAATGAGTATAAGAAAATAATATTTCAAATCTCTGTAATTTGTTACAAATTCTATTTTGTTGAAATTGTTGTAACAAAATTTATTAATTGTTTTTAATTTTAATTTTGTTATTGTTTACAATGTATCTTTTGTAGAAAATTATTTATTGTTTCAATAAAAAAAGATCACTGCTGAGCCTAAATTTTTAATCTTAATATAAAATTCTATGATTATATTTTAATCGAACTGCTAGAAAAATTCTTTAACATAAACTATCAAAAATCGATTGAATGTTGGTTGTTATTTGAACTATAAATAATGTTCTTTATAAATCTATTTTTTTTTGAAATTATAACAATTTAATTTTAATTCTTAAGTTTTAAAAATAATTTTTAATATTTAGATTATTATAACTAAAAATTATAATTTAGTTGAAGATAATTAATGAGATAACTTAATCAGACTTTACATTCTTTTATACTTTTTAAAATATCAACTGTATAAAAAATCAGAGTATTTATTTGTAGGATCATACATTAATACATAATTTTAAATTTAGAATTAAAAATTGAAAAAAAGAATGCAAGAATGAAAATGAAACGTTTAATTGATGACGCATATTTTTTTTTGAATATTTAATTTCATTAATTATAAAATAAATATTAATTAAAATGAATAACATTATCTATAACTCAAAATCCTGAAACGGCTTGAAAAAATCTAATGCGAGATTTTTTAAAAAACTCATACATAACTCTTCAGATTAATAAGCATAAATAAGAAAAACAAATAGTAGAAGATAGAATAAAAATTATGAAATCAATGCTATCTTCAAAATACTGACACATAAAGAAAAGATAGAAAATATTCAAAAATAGAGATAGAATAAAAATTGATCGTTAACGCCATCTTTTAAGTGTCTGAGAAATTTTTTTAAAAATAGAATAAAATAAGAATTAATTTTTAAAAAATCTTTATTCATTTCTTTAAAAAATCATGTTTCTAAAAATATTCAGAAAATAGCATTGATATTTAATTTTTATTTTATCTCTCTCTTTCTTCTATTATTTTCTATCTTTACTTATATTAGTTTCATTTGTAGCTAGAGATGGGGTTGATGTTCAATTTTTATTCTATCTCTCTTTTTCTTCTACTATTATCCTTGCTTATATTATTATTTTCGTTTGTGATGCTCTAGAGATGGCGTTGATTTCAATATTTTTATTCTATCTCTGTTTTTCTTCTATTATTATATTACTCTTCTTGTTTACAATTGTATAGATCCAACCTTAAATAAAAATGGTAAGTTATGAAGTATTTTTCGTAAAATAATTAATAATCATTATTATCAATAATAAAAAATAATTATTATTGTATTATTAAATGATGAAAAAAAAATGAATTATAGTAATATGATTTGTTGTTAAATAAAAAATATTTTCTCTGTAGGATGTACAAAGACATTCTGTACATACTCTTGTATTTCGATCTTTAAAAAGAACCCATGATATGTTTCTATTAAATCAAGGTACTTTGCCACCTATGGATCCTAATTTGTAAGTATATATATTTTGCTTTTCTATTTAATATATACAATATCAATATTCAGAAAATAATATAGTAATGTTTTGCAGACAAAAAATAAAAAAATCTGTGAAAGCAAAGGACTCTTATGGCCCTGTACTAGAACGTGTTAAAAATAACAATATAATAAAAGTACAAAATGAAAATGAAAATACAGATCCTCCCCCACCAGGCGGTAATTATATATATCATATATATATTTATTATATTATTAATAACAATAATTAAATCTTTATTTTATATATTATGTTGCTATAATTAATAAATATGTATTTATAGATGAATCTTTTGGAGGAAATAATACTACTGCAGTTATACCTTATAACTCTATACAAAATAATAATATAGTAACAACACAAGCAAATTCTGGAGGAAATGCAAGTAATCTTACATTACATATACCACAAAAAAAAACACATTCTATGGCAAAACCAAAATGGCATGCACCATGGAAATTATATAGAGTTATTAGTGGTCATCTTGGTTGGGTAAGATGTTGTGCTGTTGAACCAGGGAATGAATGGTTTGCTACAGGTTCTGCAGATAGAGTAATTAAAGTAAGATTGTTTTATTTTTATTGAATTATATATCCTTTCTATTATCTGTTATTAGCATATAATATTTTTGAACATTCTAGATATGGGATCTTGCAAGTGGTAAATTGAAAGTTTCATTAACTGGTCATATAAGTAGTGTTCGTGGACTTGCATTTTCTCAACGACATCCATATCTATTTTCTTGTGGAGAAGATCGACAAGTAAAGTGTTGGGATCTTGAATACAATAAGGTTATTAAATTATATTAAATTTTAATTATTTATTGTATATATACAGTAATTAATGTTTAATAAATTCTATTATTATATTATATATTAATAATTAAATATTACATAATTTCTGTTATTTTCATAGGTTATAAGACATTATCATGGTCATTTATCAGCTGTATATTCTATGGCATTACATCCTAGTATTGATGTATTAGTAACTGCAGGAAGAGATTCCACTGCAAGAGTGTGGGATATGCGTACTAAAGCAAATGTACATACACTTGTTGGTCATACCAATACAGTTGCTAGTATAATTTGTCAGACAGCTGAACCACAGGTATTTTTTATGTATTTGATATTATGAAAGATGATTCTTTTTAAGATAATATGATTTAAAACTATATTTTAAAAGAAAGTATTGAATGAACTCATATTTTTTTTAATTAGATTGTCACTGGAAGTCATGATTGCACTATACGATTATGGGATTTAGCAGGTGGAAAATCTAGAGCTACTTTAACAAATCATAAAAAGAGTGTAAGAGCTGTAACTTTTCATCCATCATTGTATGTAATATTTTTTATTAAAATTTTCATTGTATATTTTCCTTTGTTTCATTTATATTATTTATTAGATATATGTTTGCATCAGCATCTCCAGATAATATTAAACAATGGAAATGTCCAGAAGGAAAATTTATTCAGAATTTATCTGGACATAATGCTATTGTTAATTGTTTGGCTGTTAATCCTGATGGTGTGTTAGTTTCTGGAGCAGATAATGGTACTATGCATCTTTGGGACTGGAGGACAGGGTAAAGGATATCTCATGTAAAAATTTTTTAAATTTATTCAGATATATTGTTCAAATATATAAATTTTAAGGTATAATTTCCAACGTTTACAAGCACCTGTTCAACCGGGTTCAATGGATAGTGAAGCTGGAGTATTTAGTATTACATTTGATATGTCTGGTACTCGTATGATTACAACAGAAGCAGATAAAACGATCAAAGTTTATAAAGAAGATGATACTGCTGTAAGAAAAAATTTTTTTTATATTTTTATATATTAATTATATCAATAATTAAAACACAAATGCAACCATTTTTTGTTAATGTTTACAGACCGAAGAAACACATCCAGTAAATTGGAGACCAGATATAATAAAACGAAGAAAATATTAAGTGTTTTTATATATAATAAATATTATTAGTTTAAAATTTTTTTAAGTTCTAATTTTTAATATATAAAAGCCACATTAAAGAAATATATTAATGTTTTATAATTCTTCATCCAAATCAAATTCTTCTTCTGGAAAGTCTCCTACTTTCACATGTATTGGTTTTACAAATCCACCATATTTTGGTGAACATTCAAAATACTTTTTTCCATTAACACTATAGAAACAAGATAAACAGAAAATTAATTATATATTAAAGATATCAAGAAAATATATCTTTTATATCTTATATATAAGATATTAAAAAGATACAATATAAATCTAAAATAATAATGGCCTTACGTTCCATTATTTTTACCAAGTGGTTCATCATATTTTACTCCAACCCACCAACCTTCTTTAAATTCAGTTTTTCCTGCAAAGAAATTAATAAAAAAAAAAAAAAAATAATATATATAATCAAACTAAAAGTATAAGAATTATTATACATACCAACATACATGATTATAGCTCTTCGTTTTGGTTGATTTGGTACACAAACTTCACAACGAGAACCAATTTTACATAATTGAGCAGCTGTTCTTTCTGCTTCTTCTTCTTGTTTTTTCTCTTCTGCCCTTCTTTTCATTTCTTCTTCATTATATTTTCCTAACTTATTTTTTTCCAAAAATGCCTTTACTGTATCTATATATATATATATATATATATCACACACATATATTCAGATAAATATTTAAAATATTCTACATAATATTCAATATATAAATGAATTATAAAATATTTTAATTAGTTTTAAGTGAAATTATAATATATTAATAATTTATGATATATATTAAGCTAAAATATTTTGAAAAAATATTTTTAAATAAATGATGATGTTTCATTTTGATAATTTTATGACAAAATATTAAAGATCTATTATTTTTTTATATAAATATCTTTAATTGTAATTTATGTGTCAGTGATTATTTTACCCGTTCTTTTAGCATATTCTTCTTCAGATATTTCAAATTTTTCTATATTATTTAAATTTTCTTCAGTACGAGAAAAATTATCTATTACCTGAAATATCATTTATATATATAATATTATAATTAAAAAGAATATTATTATTTCATATAAATTTTTA